TTATCTCAACAATAACACTATTTTAACTTTTTCGGAGGCTTTCAACCTACGTATTAAACTTAATGCCTTATTCAATAATGATATTGTATTTATGTATATTTAGTTATTTTAGATAGGTATAGGTTTACCCCGGTTTCCGACTCTCCGTCGAACGTAATCGATCTTACAACAATAACAATAATATGCGATTAATTATGGTGAATATTTGGGCGCACACAAATTGCGTACCAAGTTAGTTAAACTTAGGTACCTACCTATTTGAATAAATTACTCCTGGAACGCAATTTGTTTTACTTTTTAATCTACAGATAATATTATTATTTTATTAATGTTTCCTAAAGCAAGATTGACAAATACAATTTACATAATTTGACAAATCATTTTCAATTTATTTTTTTTTGGATTCTTAGCGGATTGATAAATGCATTGTAGGTACCTATATTGTACTAAATTAAACTTTTTTTTTTTGTGTCTATCTTCATATTTTGAGGCAGTAAAATGCTTCAATTAGTTCGATTTTATACTTTTAGTCTTTTCTTGTAGGATAGTGAATTTAGCAGTTAGTACAGTAAATAAAATGTGTATTTTATTATTAATTGTTGTGATTTATCGGTTAATTCATATTTTCATCTCGATAGCGAATCCCGGTATCGACCTTTGAGTGTCTCTGACGGAGTTAACCAAAGAAGAACATAACAAATAACAATGTGTCTATTGTCTATATATAATAATACTATAAATTAATAAATTTTAATATACACTTCGTTCATCTAGGGAATGTTGTCAACAATAACGGTCAGTCTGACAATGCTTGTTAAGTTGAAGTATACGATAGGACGATAGATATTATACACTGAGGTACACCACGGTATATTATATTCGGTTTATCGGGTTTGATTTCTAGTGACTTCACTGGCCACCACCGCCTGCGGTTTGTTTCAGCCGTTCGAGGTAGACTGCTGTTGCAGTGAAATTATACTGGTTTAAATACCTATATGGTTTAAACGACCGCAAAGCATTTTATTATGTTCCGTTGGTGTGCTAATAATATTTAACTGTGAAATATAATTTATTATTGAACCACGCGCCATAAATCACCAAATGATTGTCAGTAAATAAGCAAATTAATTATATGGATTTACCCATTTAACGACCTAATATATAGTACAGTATTTAAATTGTGCATAAAGATGCATTTGCATGCCTATAAGTATTCATTAACTGAATTTGTTTAGACTATCAATTCAAAAACTGGACCATACAATTTGGTTTATTGAAATACTATAATATGACTTAAGATAGAACAGAAAAATAGAAAAAAGAAACAAATAACCCTATAGGCACCTACTTATCAAACTATCAGAGTACCTATATTATGTCTTCGTTATTGCAGTCGTTCAAGATCTAAATAAAATGTAGGTGTTTTAAACACATAAGAAAAAATAGTGTAATCTATTGATAATGTCTGTGCAAAAGGGCTTATAAACAATAATGTTTCGACAAAAAAAACGTCACAATCCATATTATTACGCAATGATAAACATCGGTATGCGGGTGATCACAGGAAGATGAAGTTCTCACTTTGGCGCCACATTGTTACCCTGTAGACAACTTTATGAACACTTGGTGGTATCAGGTTTTTATTTCTACCAATAAGATATCCATTTCACGTGTAAGTTACTTGTAATCAAAGGGGTAACATACTTTATCTAAAATAATCGACAATGATTATCAAAACTAGACTCTTTTGTTAAAGGAACACCTCAGGTGTACAAAATAAAGAACATTAAAAAACAAAACTAAAGTTACTGTCATAAAGTATGTTTATTATGTCGGTACATTAACTATATTTGATTAATTGTAACTTTTAAAAGCTAATACTTGTTAAGTTCAAATATAATAAACATTAAATTAATAATAAGTAATAATAAATAATAAGTCAGTGGAAAGTTTATATGTATATAATATAGCTATACTAAAAATAGTTGTACCTAATCTGTAAATTTTACCATCGATGGAGTTTAAGTGTATTTCAGGTCAACAATTACATACCAGTGGAATTTACATTTTTTTTCTAGTAAAAAAAAGTATCTATAGAATTTACATGATATAATTCATTCACTAAAATCAACTACAATCGCCTGTTCTACTGTTACGATAAGTGTTTACAAACTTAATTATTAATAATGATAAGTGATAACTGATAACCTATACTTCTGAATTCATTGAAATAGGTAGGTGATATAAGAAACTACATTATAGTTAGGGTTGCCACCTTTGAAAGAAAGCAGCCCCGGAGACAGGCCGATAAGCAAAAAAAAAAAAAAGGTCGTTTAGTCATATAGTCATAAATGCAGGGGCGTACCCAAGGGGGGGGGGTCGGGTCCGGACCCCTCATTGAGATATCTACATTTACATTTACAAATTATAGTACCTACCTATTGTTATACACCTTTCTGTATATGTACTGTGAGTGAGTGTATAACTATTGACTATTGTAACTATATTATAGTTATTAACAGTAATATTTTGGTAATGAATTAAACTATAATTATAATTATTAATTAGAGAACAGATAAAATAAAAATTTTGGACCCCCCCCCATAAAAAAAATCCTGGGTACGCCTCTGCATAAATGTGGTCATTAATTAATTACTTTTCAAATTCTGTGTAGTTTTATAATATCGATGCACGGTTACACTGACACAAAAATTAAAAGCAGATATTCGGATTCGATCAAACACACTCGACTGTGATGTTGAAACAGATTCGTAAAATCGTAATCGTAGACTCATAAAATCATAAACCGTAGTTCATAATCTTATTATTCTTGTTATCTTGAATAAATGGTTTTTATACCGGAAACTAATAAAAAAAAAAAGGCATAATAATAAAAAACCGTATGTTATCTTATCTTTATCTCCGACCCGAAGAATAATTCACTGAACCCGGAGCCCGTAGATTTATACGTAAACCCGGATTCTCCGGGTGAAACCCGGAGAGGTGGCAACCCTAATTATAGTGGAGCATTTATATAATCCATATGTTCCTACTAGGACGTATATATCTAATAATAGTATAATACCTTATACTTGGGACAAATAAAATCGTTAACTGAGTAGATTATTTATAGGTGCAGCAATATCTTAGACCGGGGCTATACACGGCATATTCCACAGCGTTTTAACCGGGGCTGGCCTAAGGAGTGGTGTGATGAACGATATCACAATTATTGTATTAATACTATTATTCTATTTTTGTATTGCTTATATACGTGGAGGTACTGAGGTAGGTATATTTTAATAAGCCGAGAACGGGGAAGGTTATTCATTTGACTTTGGGTGTAGAGTGAACTAATGTACTATATCTGATACCAGCTACATATTGATGTAGACTATAGCTTACAATTCGATGAAGTAGATGGCACTTACCTACACTAAATAGTAAATGATCAATCTAGGCATAGGTAATATGGAAAAAAACTAATAGATAAACAGATGTTACTAAATATGCAGGGGGTCTAAATGTGTGGCACTGTACATAGACCACAATAAATTGTGATCACAATTTATAACAGTGAAACGAAATAAAATAAACGCTTGTGTTTACGGTTAAGTACCCTTCCACCAAATTGGCGAGTGACTCTGTGATTGCGATCGAATTATTTTTACGATATCATAATCCGTGCCCTGTTATAGCCTACCTATACTCTATGAAGACACTTTTGTTTCAACTACAAGTCTTTTTAATCGTCGCTCAACCTGTATGGCTATAATATTATAATCAATAACGGCGTACCTACATAATATTATGTAAAAAAATAAAAGACCCACCAAGAAGCTGCACACGTTCATTATCCTTACAATATAATATAACCATTCAGCAATACGACAATTACGCTTGTACCAGAAACCAGTGTCCGTATTGTAACACAATAATATATTATAGACTTCACAAAGGTACACCCATTGTGTGGGTATAATAAATAACGCGAAGGGTAAGGTATAGTAAGGGCAGCTATATACAGGTACACCAGATACACAATACTATGATATACCTTTGCTGCAAGTCGTTAGGGCATGAAATATCAATAATATGTACATTAAGATGTCATGTATATAGATCAATAGATCGTACAGATGACCCAACTCGTCCACATGCATCCCATATTATTATTGTTACAATTTCCAATTTGATATAAATTTATAAGCAATATTTTACATAATATTATTATAGAGGTACGATAATACGATATAGATACGACTATAATATTACGAGTATTATGACCCGTGCGACGTGTCGGTGGCGCGGCGGCGGTAACGGATTAGCGGGGCCGCGTGTGTAACTACCGTTTTAAAATCGGTGGGTTCGGCCTGCGTTCCCATTGGCCGACGGGCGTACGGCCCAAAATGCAAAACTCGAGGGCCGCCGCCGGTGCAGCCGTCGTCGTCGCCGCCGCCGTCGTTTCGGTGAAACTCCGTCCGGACCAGCAACAGGATCGACGTCGTCGTCGTCGTCGATCAGTGATCGTTTCGCACGCATCGCGTCCGTTCGTTGTCCGCGTGTTCTCGCCGTCCACAGGCGTTTTCTTCTCTCACGCTGTCTCTCTATCATTTTTTTCGTCCCGTTTTCTCACGAGCTTACCACCAACACCACCGATCGACCGACATATAAGGTCGACTAGAAAAAAGATATAATATTGTAAAAATAGTATTTACCGCGACCCGCAAACTCTCAATCATTACCTGATAACGATATCCGGCGCAGGTACCCAACCCGTCGACGTTTTATCGGTGTAACGACGTCTCTTTATGACTCTCCCGATAACGTCAATCATCTTCGTTTTAAATACCTAAACATAATAATAATACTGTTCCGGGGAACCACCGCCGTCGAAAATCCTGTCCGACGGGATAGTATCGGCACAGCCGCCACCGCGACTAGCAGCACGCGCGGATCCGAGACCGCCGCCGACGAAGGACAGAGGCCGGACTTCGATTATGGTCGTCGTTTTGTGAGTAAACCATTATATTATTTTTTTCCCGTCTGTTTGGACATGTGACGTGCCTTATTTTATTGTGCATCTTTGATTTTGTGTCGTACGAAGGCGATTGAAGACAATATGGTAAATAGTGTTGTTGTGTGTCTTATGTTATCAAGTACCTAGGTAGTATGTCTTATTCGTCTGTAGACCATAATATTATTATACAAATATGCTTAGGGTTGGCACCTCAAGTGTCCTGAGGATATTAATATTACCTAGGTACCTATATAAGTAATATTACGCAGTAAACCTATGTAATAAGTAAATAGGTAGGTATTTAATAAGCTTTTTTATCGTAATAATAATTGTTTATCTGTGTATTATTATTATTACTATCGATTATCCTAATATAATATCGTAGCTCTATTAATTGTATATACAAATATATCGTCATACGTCTAGTACAATTATATAGAGACGTTTGCATTAACGTGTGCTTGTAAATTATAATCATTTTGAAAATTATACGAACACACTATACTAATGTTTTCGTGTAGGTAGGCAACTCTAAGCTCAGTACGTATAATCTACGTCTAAATAATATTATTTATTTACTAGGTCTACTTGTCTGTTGTTTTAAATAATATGTTAATATGTTATGTTTAAAAATGATCTTTTTAAAATGTAGGTATCTACCTATAAATATAAATAATTTACGTTAACTCGCTTAAAGTTGATTTTTTATAACGGACTGTACCTATTTACAATATTTAAAACCTATTAGACTGCTTATAACTGTTACAATTCCATAGGTACCTCAAGAAACATGAGTCTTATTTTTCTTCTTGTTTTATTTTTAAATGTTTTGTATCAATAAATGTTTAACAAAGAAAAGAAACTAGGTAATCAAGTATGAAATCCTATATAAATATTATTTAAAAAAACTTCCCATCTAATTTGTTATTGGTTAAATCACTTACAAATATATCAATACAATTATAACAATCAGTACATTGTTGTCGCGTGCAGCTGAACATATTTTCCACTATAATGTTATATAATTAAACTGTTTTTCCAGAACCTATACAACTCGGAAATTTATCGTCTCACTAGTTTTATGAAATCTAAATTAATTATTGTCCGTACGACAACGCATTGCTTTAAAAGTTTAGATTGGTAATCCCTAATAAGTCAATAACTATAATATTCTACGAAGTTCTATAAATATTTTAAAACCTTAGATCAATGATATTACCTATGACGTTCAAAGGTTATAACTTATATTGTACATTTCATAGAATTTTATAAATCTCTATATTAATAATATAATAAATTATTATAAAGTTTTATTTGTAATATTTTAGTAAACAAGAATACGAAAATCAAAGCATGAGCAATGAATATAGTTACTCTCGTGGAAGACCTCCTGCAGAATCTATTTCTCGAATTGCTGATTGGGACATTAACGATTCGATTATTCCAAGGGTAAATTTTGATATAATATATATATTTTTTGGTAGTTATTAGTTAAAAATAATGTTTATAGCGCTATTTAGTATTTGCATGCTTTATTTTAAACTGTTTGCCATACAGAACAAAATCTATATAATACGTGATGCTTATTATTATTTCTGTTATTATTCATACGGGTATACCTACCTATAATACATATATTTATATTAAATTTGATATTTTAAGTTTTAAAAATTAAAATTACATGATGTTTCTATGAATAAATGTAATATTATGGGATATATATCAAACAAATTTGTTTTGTTGTCTCCGTCTTACACACGTACCTACGACATAGTACATTTCGATCACTAGTTTCAATTATAGTGTGCTGTTGATTTTGATATTTGAGTGAATTTACCTAATGTCAAAGTTTTAGGTATTAGAACATTTAATTTATCTGTGCTTAAGCTTCGAATTTTATTTGATATTTCAATTTTCAAGCGAGACATGAGTATTTTTAGTTTGTGTTATTTCACACACCCATATCTTGCTTGGAAATTTAAATATCAAAAAGATCACCGACTCTTAAGCACAGATAATGTTCTTACCTACAAGTTTGAAAATAGTTCAATTCACTTTAATATCAAAACTAACATCACGCTATTGAATCTAGTGAACGAACATTTTTATGACGTATACGTTTGTAAGGCGAAGACAACAAACGCATGGGTAACGTACTATAATGGAGTACCTACTAGCAGAAATATTATACAATTTAAACTGAAACAAATTTTAAATAAGTTCTTTGACTATTACTTATATAGTAGTTATATATGCATAGTGCTAAGATACATTTCAAAACAACTATATTAATGAATTATAATACAATTTTTCTAGTATTAGATATTTTATATTCTGTCTATCGTTAGGTTATAATTAAATATTGAATATTTGCATTCCAATATAAAATTTACATTATGTTTTTACGTAAGAAATTTAACTATGTTAAAATTAGATTTTAATGTTATAAACCAATTAAAAATAGATGTTCTAGGCTAAAATATAGACATAATAAAATAGGTAAACCCGTGTGTTGTAAAATGGTTTTAATTTATATGATTATTATAAATATTTTAATTATAAACGAAGGTATTGTATCAAAATCATATTTATTAATAGTTTTATTTTAATAACTAATCAAATATTTATTTGGTCGACAATCAGGATTAAAATATTTGAGAAAATTATATTTTTATATTCAATCGGTAGTTTTGACTTTGAGGGTGCCCTTGTTGTACGAAAACCATAGTTTCTAGAGCTTTTGTTACTCCTTGAAACTACATACATAAAACATACTACCTAATAACATCATACACATGTAATGTATTGTATGGCCGTGATGTGAATGAATATATCGTACATATTTTTTGGTAATTCTATAATAAAATTAACATATTATAAACAAGGATAAATTGGTAGAATATTTTGTTTAAAAAATGTAGGCATTCTACCCAATAAAAATTCTAGAATACAGGAACTCATACCTACCGAAGAAGTAAAAGCCCCAAAATAGTCTTTAATGACCTGTAGTTACTTAAATGAATATACCTGTAGCTATTACACCATTTAAAAATATTATTTTATAATGATGGTGTCCATTCTAATCATATCTTAATCATAAAACATTTAAAAGGTACACACATTTTTTTTCAATTCTGTTTCACCCTTTATATTATTTTCCAATTATATTACTGCTTACTGCAGTGCATTTGAATTTATAAAATTTTTTTAGATTGCTTCTTTTCTGATCCTTATGTGTTGTCAATTGTCATTGTTATATATTTTTCATTTATAGGTGAGTAACTTCAACTTATGGGAAGAATGGGCCGATGGGCATTGTCGCTTGGTATACCCACCCAATTGCGAAGAAGCAAAGCGACACGCTTCTGGATGGGCAATGAGAAACACCAACAACCACAATGTGCACATATTAAAGAAATCGTGCCTGGGTGTTCTACTATGCTCGAGAAGGTGTGTTCTTCCTTCGGGAGACACTGTTCACCTAAGACCAGCTATATGCGACAAGGCTCGAAAAAAGCAACAAGGTAAATTATTGTTGGTAAATAGTATACCTAAAATAAACAAATATCTAAGACACAGAGTTATACTTACTTGAACCTTCACTTGTATACTTTTTTTTCACGGTCATTGTTAGTTAATTGTTTTTTAGTTAACAAAATATTTAAATTACTAAGTACACCTAGAAGAAAATTAACAAATGAGTAATAAGTGTAGGTTATTGTTCAAATGAATGATTAATTGGTATAATTATTAAGTTCGGTAGGGTCGGTTAGATGCATTATGCATGTACATATTTTATATATAATGCACTTATTGTATTTAAAGGGTTGAGTTACTACCTATATACGACAATATTTTTTCATTGAAATGTCTTCAGATCTATAGAGTTTGGACCCAGAGCATCACAAATAAATGTACAATGTAAATATATAGGTACTTTTTTTTTTATTTAGAAATCACTACAAATCATTGTACAATCTATGCAAAAAATTTGGTACAACAAGCACATGTTTTGAAAGAAAAAATTTTTAATAACTTGCCAATGTTTCACGTATATGGTATATATGAAGACTATTATCGTTCATTGACTACTTGAACCTCCCTTGACTAGTTTAGTTTAAGTTATGAGATCTGTGCACCGTTTCCATTTTAGTCGACGAGGTGGATTTTCAGGGAGATTATTGGATTATTAGAATGTTCACGGAGTCAATTTCCGAATAAACATAGGTATTATACCTACTAACATTTTTAGAAATACATTTTGAATAATAATTTAATATGATGTGATTGGTTTTTAAACTGTTGATAACATTATATTTTTTATTATAAAGGATGCTAGTCCATCATTATCTAACATAATAACAATATGTTGTCTATGTTTGAATATGTCTCCCCTGTTTTGTGGCTATACATGAAGAGAGTACTTAACAGTTAACACAAATTAATAATGAGAAAATTATCTTTAAAAAGGCTTTTTAAATATTTTTTTAAATCGCATGGAAGCCAAGTTTTGAATTATATAATTTGACAATAAATGTCCATGCATAATATTTTATGTTATGTATATAAAATATTTCGATGACATTCTAATAAGGCGAAATGTATATTATTTATGTGCCTAGGTCATTCTACGACTAATAAGACCACTAATTATGTATATATGCTCAAGTATTTAAATTAATATTTTCCATTGTTCGATGGTACAAATTTTAATTGTATTTTATTTACTGCAGTACATTTTAACAATGAAGTTTAATTTAATTTAGTTTCCAAAATTAATATTGTAAATCAATAATTATAATAATAATATTACTTCGCTTGGTTGACAGTTGTCCGACGATAAAAACTTTAAACATTACTTGTTCCAAGTTGCGGCCGGTATCATCAAACACGCCTTTTGCTTTTTAGTATACTAATCTATTTTGTTAACTTTAATAGTCCCGTAATTGTAGTACAGCCTGAGAATACCTGAGGGGGGAGGGATCCATAATATAATATTATTGTTTCGAATTATAATTAATATTAATAACAAATACAATTCATCATTTGAGAATTTATATCATTGAGGTCATAGTGGGATGGGGGGGCAACTCCGGGTAACCCCCACTGGTTGTGCCACTGTATCGTGACAAATTCTATGTATGTTTGTATAACTATTTAGTATTTACCACTAATAATTATTAATTATTTGTAGGTAAACCGTGCCCAAATAGACAGTGCCACGGTCACTTAGAAATAATGCCCTGTAGAGGACACTGTGGTTACCCTGTCACACATTTTTGGAGGCATACAGAGTATGCAATATTTTTTCAAGCCAAGGGTGTACACGACCACCTGAGACCTGAAGCCAAGTCTACTTCAGAAGCACGAAGAAGCTTTGGCACCAGCCGCAAAATACGAAACTTCGGCATGCTCCTATCGCGTGATGGTCCTTTCAATAATAAAGTAAGATTGTATTACATATTGCAATTTAGAATTAAAAATATTTAACAACCAATTTTTAGCATTAAAATATAATGATAATAATGATCTTCGATACATAATTAAATAAATGCAATAATAATATGTATTATTTTGTTATATTGTGTGGCGTACAGTGTACATAATATAACGTTAGTACCATACTGCTAGTATTTTGTATTTAACAAAAATAATATAGTTATTTAAGTACCTAGTAATTAATATAAACAATTTATCTCATAATATTAAAACTAAGTTTGGTAAATATTCACAACCTCCTAAAGTAAAATTGAATAATTGTTAAATTAATATCATGAAAATGGTTTATTCATATTTAAAAAATTGTTGAATAATAGTGGCTTAATATAACTTTTAGTTTACATTTTTATTTGCGTTCTTTTTAGGACATAGATAAAATATAAGCATATTGTGTTTAATGATCATACAATATTTAAAAAGTAAATATGTGTCAGGTAATAAAAACACTAAACAGAATTAATTCAAGTCGATCAAACTTGTGCAATATCTTGTATAGTAATTAGTAATTGCATTGGTGGTGCTATTATATTTTTATTATGATTTTATTGCTCTCGAAAATATGTTTAAACAAATCTCTGAGTTCCGTATTATGGTATATTGATCATATTATCGATAACAATAAATAGCTAGCTTTTTGATTAATGCAATTACAAAATAATATGTATAGTGTGCCTGAGATTTAAGAATACCTATTGACAGTAAAAAAAAAAAAAGGTAGTAATAAAAACCAAATAAATGAGATACAGTGTGTATTGTGTATACTGTATAATAATAATATTATATAGTAGGTCTGCAAACATGTACAGCGGTCATCAATAACATAAAATAACAATAATTATACGATATACACTGGACACGGACAGCATAATCTGTCTATTCGATAGCTTGATCATTATCATTTCAGGCTATGTGTGTGTGTGTGTGTGTGTGTGTGTAGTGTTGAGACGCGTTGTAAATCAATGATATACACAATGACGAAAGCGAAACCAGTGTTCACAAAAAAATAATATTCCGGCTGGGTTGTTGATTGTTACGTTGTACGTCGCGTCGGAGAGGTTTATGCACAGGTCGACCGAATTTTCGTCCCCTTTTCGGAACGCTCGTGACTAAAATAAAAATGATTTCGTTTCTATATAAATTATGTTATTATATAAAAATAAATGCCGATGCCTGAAAGTTAAAATTCTAATAGACAACATTCTGGAAATTCGTTTTATTATTATTATACTATTAACGTCTTGCACAAATTAATTGGAAATACACGTTCGTTGTGGTTATTAATAATAATGTACATTGCATTCATTCGTATTAAATTAAATATAGTAATATTCTCTATAGAATCCTATTTAGGCCCGTTAGCCCTCGTTCGAAAATAATAATTCTAATAATTCTCTCAGTCTGTGGACTGCGATGACACCGTTGTCAAAAGTTGCCGTAGATAATGCTCGTCATGCTCGTCATATGTACAATACGTAATTGGATGGATTTTTTAGTGAAATCTTGCCAACGGGTTTTGATACTATATCGCTCGTCGACCTTTTGCGGAGACGCTAAACGACTGCCGCTGCAGTGATAGAATAATATAATATAAATATTATTATTATTGTTGTGTGTAATAATTATAGGGCGAACGCACGCGTAGTAGGTATGTTAATTCAATTGTAGGTGCCGTATAAATCACTTTGGCGAAAACCCATGTCGGTCGTGTGGGGCGGGGTGGCCGAGTTATATGCAGAAAGGCAATAATAATGTTTAGTGTGTGTGTGTGTTATTTATACGACATAGAGAATATCGATACACAAATAAAATGTACACAATATAATAATATTATATTATTATTTATAAGTTATAACTTTGGATGATAATTGTCGGCAGTCCGCCCGAGGGGGGAGGTCTAATCATGTTGTCGGCCGGCTAATTGTTATTGTTGCGTACGTATATATATTTTGTACTGTGCACAATCGTTTTAAATGTTTAATAAATATATAACCGGCAGAGTGGTCCATCCGATCGGTGGCAAATTTTATTGTTTTGTACGTAATAGTAATAATACGAATTCGCTCGCCAACGTGTGCGTTTGCCTAAACAAGCGCCGCCGATACCTGTAGAGTGTAGATGATTTAGCACTGTGGGCGGGGGAGTGGGGCGGTGGTGTATATTCAACAATAAACGAAATTACATTTTTATACTGATTTTCTTCCACGTTTGCTTTGGGTTTTTAGACGATAATCTATAGTTTAATATACTAAATTAACGAAATAACGCAGGTACACCTGGTACACGAGTATTAATATAAAGCTAAAAATATTAATATTGTTGGATGTCAAATTTTGATTTCAAAATGGTTGAAGATACAATCGACATTTAAAACGAACCGCTCCGCACGATGATCTCGCAAGCATGGTATTGATAATAATATTATATCAGCTCAGACCGTTTCGAAAATATAATATGTGTTTTCTAGTGAATCGGATATTAGCCGTGAGAGCGTGATGCAGTTGCATTCGTTGTCTGTGCAAGGGGAATTTAAAATGACGTTGTCCCGTACTGTTGAATAATTTTTGTGTTTGTGCATTGTTCTAAGTGCACGTTTTGAGATGCATTTAAATAACAAATTATTCTATGTACTGTTATAGACAAATCGGTTTTCTAACCAAACGATACGTTTCCGATGAGTCCCCGATACCATATCCCCGTCTCTGGTCGTAACCTATGCTCGCCGGATATTAATATTTATTAAATTTATTGAATGCAACGTCGGACCATGAGCGTCTATATTATTATGTCGCGCGTAAAGTTTGTGTTTTTTCCTATTTTCAGATCATGTCTGGTAAACCCATGTGGTGTACCTATATAATATTATAATGTATAGGTGTAGAAAAAATATAGTACAGCAAAACGTATTTCATTGAAATTTTGTTTATTCCACTGATGCAATAATTTTATGGTAACGAAGTTATAACGATGATGTACTATAGAATTACACGATTTCGTCGGTGAAACGTCGCTGTTGTCCAGTGTTTTAATATTATGTTTATTGTACCTATCTATCAGTGGCGAAAATGTGAATAATACTCTGGGAGGCTTCAGTCATTATTAGTATTGACTGCTTAGTTACCTTGTCTATTTTTATTTTGTTATTTATTTGTGGTTGCTATATTTGAATTAGACGATTAAAATAGGTATATAATATTAAAATTAATGATGGCTATATTAAAATGGGTATATATTCTTATATTAAGTTACTATAATTTATAATATTCAAGAATAGAAATATTATATTTGCCGTAAATATTATTAGTTATTATTATTTATAGGTTTAACTAATTAAAATTTCCTATAATAACGTTATTATTTTATGTCTAATGTTCAACACACTTACTCATTATACCTTATTGTATAGATTGTAAATATTCTTTTTAAATAAAAAAAAAACACTAATTAAAATTAAAAATTCCAAGTAGATACACCCAATATACCGGAAAAAAATTAGACGTTAACCCAGCGTCACTTATTCCCATCGTTCACTATATTTTTCTAGTAACAATGATTTAAATATTATTACAAATTAATAAATATTAAATACTAATAATATCGCCGCGTAATAATAATATGCAATCTGGCATTATACCGCAGTTGTTTTACCGAGGCGACTTCATACTGCTCCATTCATATTTATAGTAATTTTTTTCAAGTCATCGAGAAAAGGGGCACGGGTGCGTTTTTAATGGTGGACTAAAATAATGTTAAGTGGTAACTTATCCATTGAGTAGGATTGGATAATATGTCTGTTCTCTGGTATGGTATAATAATATAATGTACCGCTTACTACTAACCGAAAGATTCAGCCGATCACAGCTCCGAATTGTTTTTCAAAAATCACGGTTCACGTTATCGCGGAGGAGTGTGAATAAGTCGCGCTTACTGGTATTTTTAAAACGGCCCAGGTTTTTACCACGCATAATGAGGTGTACGACATGATCGTCATCGGTTACAAAATAATACATACCTATTATTATTATTATTATTATTATTATTATTATTATTATTGCGTCGAACTGGAATAATCGTGTTTACAAGAGGCCGCCGCCCGTAATAATACCTGGTTATAACTTTTATACTATTACGAGCGACGCAGAGTTTTCGGGCCATATAACAAATTTATTTCGAGAGCACGTAAACGGTTTTCAAAGAGTAGCGAAACGTACGTTTATTTATACGGATGATATTAATAATAATAATATGTCGTGTGTATAGACGGACGGCGTACATGCGAACAGTGTTCAAACAAATGCGCTTTCGAGCGAGGCTCGCCGTCTTGAGCAAAGAGTCGCGCTAATTTCACCCTCCATCGCGTCGCGTATGTGAGGTGGTAACGCGATTATCGCGGAAACGCCGCCGCTGTTTAAAATATTATTATAATATTAATTGTTTGTGACAGTGTTATCGCGTCGTCACATCGACACCGATAATATTAATTTATTATTACTGCGCCTTCGGTAATGCAACGCTGCAATTCTTGATGGAGGTACAGTGTATGCTCCATGAAATCGGTGAAAATCGCTTTATTTCAGAACACCATCATTTTTTCGTATCAGTATAGAAATTGTAAATATAAACGTTATCAGTTAAATTTATGTGATATATGGGCCCTTATCAGTGATTTTAAGCGCGTATCCATCATAGATAATATAAGAATGGATAGGACATGCCTATACCAGTTCCATATGAGGCCGTGTGCTTTTTTGGGGAAGAGAGAACGTAAAGAGAGAAAGACTATATGAGGCTTTTTAAGGTTATGTGCAAAACTATTTTATTAAATAATAATAATAATAACATGATAGTCAGTTATATTTAGATATTTGTCAGTTTGTATTTTGATTGTTGTGCCACCTGTGCCTGAAAAATGGAAATTGGAAAATAATATTTTAACAAAATGAAATTATATAAATTTTATTTATTATTATTTATCAATTATCATATCAATATTT